GGGAAAGCGCGTTCCCATGGCTACCGTTCCTCCCGCTAACGGGAGGCGAGGCTAGTGTCGTCCCCCGTTTCGACAGCTTTGCCCGCAACGTCGTATTTTCAAAGACCGGGGCTCTCTTCCGTGACACCCATCCCCTCCCCCCGGGGCGAGCCCCACAAGTCCAAACCCAGAACAGAAAAAGAAGCAAAAGACAGCCCAAGAGCTGGGGCCGTTAGTCCCAGAAATTAAAGAGGGAGAGGAGAGAGCACCCGAGAGCGCCATGCAGGAGGCAGAGGCAGGAGGATCTCTGAGTTCCAGGTCAGCCTGGTCTACAGAGTGAGATCCAGGACAGACAGGGCTGTTACACAGAGAAACCCTATCTCTAAAAACCAACAACAACCAAAAAAACCCTGAGATGATGCCCTTTCTTGCCACCACAGCCATTCCCCAGCAAGCAAAGTTGATTAAAATAAAAGCAAGTTTAGTAGCAATACTATCCCCCCCCAAGCATAGTGAATTTCAGAAACAAATGTGGTGGTTTGAATGTAATCGTACAGGGAGTGGCACAATTAGGAGGTGTGACTTTATTGGAATAGGTGTGGCCTTGTTGGGGGAGGTGTGTCACTGTGAGGGCGGGCTTTTAGCTTTCCTATGCTCAAGAGACCAGCCAGGGTCTCAATCGACTTCCTGTTTCCTGAAAGATGTAGGATTCTCAGCTATTTCTCCAGCACTATATCTGTCCACACACGACCATGCTCCCACCATGATGACAATGGTCTGAAATGTAAGGCAATTTTGACTTTTTTTTTCAGGCTGTGTTACAGAGGAAAAATATGAACCTTGAGGCCTGAAGTTGACCTAACGCGCTTTTCCTTTTCATCACCGAGCTTGAATCTTGTCTTTCCCTGGCAGATGTGTTTGTGGTTCATTTACCTGGTTCAGAACCCATAAAACAAGGGACGAGGTGGTTCTGCAGTTTAGAGCCACAGGACCCACATTGGTGTCCCAGGACCTACACTCACAGGGCAACGCTACTACTTAACTCCAGGTCCAGCGAACCTGACGTGTCTTCTGGCGTGGTGTCCTGCTACCCATGCCGTCCTGCATGCAGGCTAGAAGAACTTTGTTACACATCATCTGTAGAAAAGGGAGACTGATTGAAACCTGCATGTTAGGGGCAGCTAAGAGCTCTTTGCTGCTCTTGGAGAAGACCTGGGTTTGGTTCTCAGCACCCAGCATATACAACTGTGAATATCTCCAGTTCTAGGGGATCCTAAAGCCTTTCCAGCCTCCTTGAGTGTCAGGCACACAGTTCACATGAAAGCATGAAGACAAAAACATAGATGACGAAACAAACTCATTTAAAACACGTGTCCTTGTTTGGAAGTAACCCCGGCACTGTGGAATGGAGGCAGGAAAGTCAGAAGTTCACGGTCGTCTGTCCTCCAGTTGAAGGCCAGCCTGAGGTCCACGAGAAAGTATCTTTGTTTACGAGACAGGCGTTCTCTGTGTAGCCCTGCTGTCCTGGCACTCGCTCTGTAGACCAGGCTGACCTCGAACTCACAGAGATCACCTGCCTCGCCTCCCGAGTGCTGGGATTAAAGGTGTGCGCCACCACCTCTGGGCTGAAAATGTCTTAAAAAGAAAAAGGAAGTACAACAAAACAAAAGAAAACCCAACGCCTCAAACTATGGGGCTTTGCGTGGTATTTTAAAGGAGGGCCAAGGCCCCTCTGGAAAGCGTTGCCACACCGCCTCCATTAAAAGAAACGCAGAGAGAGGCTTTCCCTGAGGGCTCCTTTCAACCTAAAGACAGAGGTCCCGAAAGGACACACAGCTGTCCAAGTCTCCTCCCTGGGAATGGCATCAGCTAGGGAACACTCTCATGGGAGGAAAGGTGAAGAGTGTCATGTCAGATGGTTCCTGTCACCTAGTCTTTAGATGAGTTGCTCTGACGTGACTTTTATCACCTAAGAGACACCTGCATGGCAAGATGACTGTTATTCACTTACTGTTGCCTCCTCTTCCCCCAAAATTCATCACCACCTGTCTCCCCGAAAACCTCAACCCGCATTCCTTTGTGTAGCCAAAGGTGTTCTAAAAACTTCATCTCCTTCTGTGGGTCTCAGGTTTTATGGCACGTGTGTTTGTACATTGTAGCTTCCTTCCCATTAATCTGTGACTCTCAGTTTATTTTACATAATTATTGAAACTTCTGAGACTACAAATCTTCCTCCATATTCTGTAATTGTCAGCACTACTCAAAGATCTTTGAAAAATTGTCACATCTATAAGGTTATCCTAGATTAGAATTGCTAGGGCCCCCAGGTAGCATTTTTTAATTTTTGCCAATTTTAGCTTGCCCTATGTAGAACCTGTGTGGTTTGTACTTGTACTAGCAAATGTGATTGTATCTTCTTGCCTGTACCATGGCCTCCATTTTCAATAACATTTAGATTTGACATTGAAGGGCATTGAAGTAGGAGGACCCACAGCGTCTACCAGTAATTTTGGTTTCCTATACTCTGGCTCTTGTCTCCAGTTCTCTTTGGTTAGACCTGAGATCTGCCCTCCTAGGACCCAGATGTGAAGGTCTAAGTGTCCTCTCCCACCCTTTTCCTCAGTGATGAGGAAACATTAGTATCATGTGACTTCTACTCTACTCCTGTTAGTCCAGGTTCTTGTGTTCTGACTGTTTAGCGTTGGTAAAGTTCTGGTCACAGCATCCTTGGTGAAACGGAACTCCCATTTTCAATAGCAAAAGATTCAGGTTGTGCCTGGTCAGCTTCCAGACACCTGCACCCTGAGATATACTTGCAGTAAAAATAGAGACAGCCCTGGGGTTGGGTGGACTGACTGTGGCTGCCCTGGAACCTTTATAATAAGCTCCTTTTTGTTGTTAACATTTTATTTTGCTGTGTGAATTTACTTAGAATGTATCAAATGACATCTCCTATGGGTATAAAACACAATACTCCTTTTTGTGTATGTATATTTTGAATTTTTATCAGAAGCCAGCAAAGCTATGTAATAAATATGCAGTAAGATTATAGCATGAAAGCTATGTAATAAATACACGGTAAGATTATAGCATGATTATACGGAGAAGAGAGAGGTAGAACTTGGAATTTATTAAAACCGAAGTGGACTTTTAAGTAACCTTTTCCAACTGAACACATTGCCTCCACTTTAAAGACGGAGAAGGTTCAGCACACAGCTAGTCTTAGCTCCGCTCCAACTGCTCTAATTGCATTTCCTCCCAGTGCCGCTCGAGAATATTCTTTCATTCACCCTTAGCCCCATCAGTACTTACTCCAAAGGGACCTCCTCACATTCCTGGCTGTCCAGATGATTTTTAGTAATCCTCCTCACGCCAGTCGTTGGTGGTGCACGCCTTTAATCCCAACACTCAGGAGGCAGAGGCAGGCGGATCTCTGTGAGTTCAAGACCAGCCTGGTCTACAGAGCGAGTTCCAGGACAGCCTCCAAAGCTACACAGAGAAACCTTGTCTCGAAAACCAAAAACTAATCCTCCTCACTGCCACTCCGCCTCAGCCACCTGTCTGATGGCTGCGGCTTGGACCGGAACCCATGCTCCTGGGAGTGACCGAGCCTCTCCAGTAGCTGGATGCACCATGTCTGCCTGTCCAGTCACTTACTCTCCTCCAGTGAACTCTGCACTGTCTACTGTCTACCCTCTTCTTGCCTGCTTTCTTTCTCAGCAGTTCTGGATTCAGAGGAGAAGATCACAGTCACACCCTAGGACAGCCAAAGTCAGGGTTTTGTAATTATCTTAGTATATTGCGCTTGTGTTGATGCCCTTGAAGTTATGTGTGAGTATTGAATTTGTGTGTGTGTGTGTGTGTGTGTGTGTGTGTGTGTGTGTGTGTGTGTGTGTGTGTGAGTGTGTGTGTGGTTCTGGGGTTTAAATCAGACAGGCTTATATGGGCGAGCTCTCTGCTACTGAGCTGTATACTCTCAGCACACTGAGTCTTTTCTAAGTTCTCTTGATTGCTTGAAACTAACAGTCGACATCTGTATCACTGAAACCGGAAAGAGCTGCATAGATCACTCTTATTATTTTGTTGGATGTGGTAGAAAAATACAGTTTAAATTTATAAAATGTGTCATGTCTGTAACCTTTATATTGCAAATGGTATTCAAAATTAAGGACATTCCTGTAGTATCTGAACACCCTATTTGAATTGGTCACAAGTATTCACAGCATTGAAAAACAAATAACACTCCTATGTGTCTCTGCATATCAACGTTACATTTATCCCTGACATTAGGAACATCCAATGCGTCTATATGAGAATCTTATTTTCTCACCAGTTCCAACTCTTAGATCTAAGAACTTGCAGAAATCAATCAAAACATTCTTTGGGAATTGTATACAGAGGGCTGGGTGGTGATGGCACACGTCTTTAATCCCAGCACTCTGGAGGCAGAGGCAGGCAGAACTCTGTGAGTTCGAGACCAGCCTGGTCTATGAGAGAATTGAACACAGAGCTTAAAATAAAGTATAATACCTATGGTTATTATTCATAAATGGTGTGTGTCACGACCTGCATACCAGCACAATATTTAATGCCCCCTTGAGTGTGTGAGGAATATATATATCTTCTTTCTCTTTCTCAAAATGACGCTAAGCTTTTACCAGCTGGCTGCAGGTGACAAACTGCTGGCCCCAAGCCGCATGGCCCACAACAGTCATGAAAAACGTTTGTGGGAGGCTCTCCAGCAGCAGCAGCAGATGGAAGGAATTTAGGGGCACCTGTATTCCTAACCTCACTTTTGTGCATTACTAATAGGGTCCATCAAAATTCAGCTTGTGATATAGCAGTAATGATGGCACAGAGATATAATTTATCATTCGACTTACATCTTTCTTGCCTTCTCTTTTCCCCTACCTCCTTGTCTTTTCCTCACTTTAATGTTGTCTCTGAACTATGTCAGTAATGAGGCCATTACATTTTCTATTAAAATCCATAAACTTTGTTTGGTCTATTTTAAACGCTGACATTATGGACCCATGTTAATTAGTCCGAATGGCCAAATCCCCTGCCAACTATGCAAATGTAGAAGTTTCGGGTCGAGTTACCTTATTATTAAGGTTAAGACTGGAAAAAAAATGATGAATGTGACTAACCTATGATCTTACAATAAAATTGTTTCGTATCATTGTATTATCATGAATTCAGTAATGTTTCAACTTTGTTTTATTCTAAGTTTAGACAAATGGCATGTTTTTGTTTTTTGTTTGTTTTTTCCGAGACAGGGTTTGTGTCAACCGTCTTGTATGGAATGTCTTAACTTTCTCTTCTTAAACTTCCAGATGGACTCAGGACCCAAACTGCATTTTAAAATTAAGTCTTTATCATTTGAGTCCCGAGCTAGAAGCGATTGTTAGATTCCCAAGCTATCCCTAACGTGGCTTAACAATCCTAGTGACAGTTCTGGTTTCTGGAGCGAGAGGGAAAAGGACGAGAGGTCAGTGTAGAGAGGGAACAAAGATGCTCGGACAAAAGCCGGGGACTGAGAAGGAAGGACCGGAAGAGCCTTGCCCAGGCCGTGCTCTGTGAGCGAGGGGGACCAGAAAGAAACTTCCCCTGGAACCGTGCTTTGTGCAGGAGTGTGGGGCTCGGTGTGTGGTGGTCTGTGCATTCTCACTAGGTGTCCTCTCTTAGGACCCCAGGCCTTCGTTAGTGTTAAGGTTCCACCCCATCCTTCACATACCTTCCCAATCTCCATAAGTCCACCCTTAAAATCCCAATTTCTCAATGCACTTGTTCTTAACAAGTATTGGGGAAATATCAGCCTGAAGGAAACTGAATTCCAGGCCTCGTCACAAAATGAAAAAGAAAACCAGCAAAGGGGGAACAGTGGTCCCTGGTCTGTAGTTTTACTTATAAGCCAGAATGTAGTCCTGCCCCATTCCACTGGGGACACAGCCATCCCCTTGCCTGTCATAGAAACAGGATATACACTGCCAACCATCAGGCACCTAGTGGCTTGTCTCTGTTATCAGACTGACAGTTGTGACTGTCAAGTTAGTATCCAAGAAACCCATGTTTTACTCGGTAATCGCCATCACATGCAAAACAACAATGCTGGAAATTTGGCTATGCCAAAGAGAAGCCGTCGTCACGGAAAGAATGGGTACTGTGCAATAGAATGTGAGAACATGTCTGCATAACTTTCTTACAGTATGTCGCAATCTTTGTTAATCCCACAGTGATCTCAATTTATAAATTAGATTTTTGTCATAAGTCTCTATGTTTAGGAAAAATACAGTATGCATAGGGTTTAGTACTGTTTGCTCGATCAGGCATCGTCAGGGTCTTGGAATGTACCCACACAGCTAAGGAAGGATTACTGTGCTCTGAAAGAAAATCCCTTCCTTCCTTAGGGCCGTGCCTATACTGGGCTCCAATAAATAGTTCCTGGTGTGCACCCCTCTCTCCCCTTCTAACCTGGCATTGCGCCATGGGCTGCCTGTTGCAAACACCTAGCTAGCTGGTTCTTAGGACAGGTCTCAGGAGTCAAACAGCCCCTAGCGTTGGAAGTGAAGCAGAGGGAACCGGCTGCTCTCGGGTGTGCTCTGTTGTAAATGGAGGTCGAGAGAAGGAATAGGAACACCTGTCTCGTGGCCTTATTCCCAAATTCCTTGTTCAAATGGTCCATCCCTTTTTTCCAGAGTTCCTGGTGGATGGACACAGGATGCTAATAAATGATGGTGACAACATAGCTTTTGTTGTTTGGCACTGGGGAAGTCCTAAAGTAGGGAAAATCGGGAAGGTCTCTGGTGAGGCTGGGAACATTATCAACACTGTATGACTTTAAAGACGAGTCCCTGTTAAAAAGAGCCATATCTAAGAGTAAGATGAACATACATGTTTGCCAGCCTTTGTACTGGCTGTCCCTTCTGCTGTGGATGAGCACGCTCTGCTCCCGAGAGGGATGCTTGGCTTCAGCACTGATGTGACGCCTCTTCAGCCCACAGATAGCCAGGTACTTGGTGGGGAGAGTGTTGGAACCACACAAGGAAAGCTTCAGGTCTTGGACCAGAGTGAATTTCAGCAGCTGGCCCAGCGTGGATGGGTCTGTGAACCAGATGGTCAGGTGGTCATGATATCTGGTTTGCTCCATGGCAAAAGGCAGGACAGACTTACAGTTGCACATCAAGCTGGCCAGACTGTAGTCACAGTCCCTGATGTCCTCAGGGCAGCTGCAGTTCCGAATGGTATCTCCCCTTGTGAAAATCAGTGTGCGGCTGTTCTGACCTTCTGTGAAGTGGCCCAGTGTAATGATACCTAGCACTCCGAGCAGGAGCGGGCAGAGACTGGAGGGTGGTGCCATTCTCGCCCAACATGAACTGGTGCGTTCCTCTTCCTCCTCCCTGAGGCAGGTCGTTGGAAGTCACCTGAAAGGAAACCTGACACTTTACTATCTCAGTCTTCTTAGAAGTACACACCCGGCTGGAAAAGCACCCCAGACCTCCAGTTGCAAACCTTCCTGCCGTGCAGTTCTGGTGGAGACAGGCAGTGCTTTTGTCTTGGCACTTGGTGAGAAGCGGCAGCCAGACTTCTGAACTCTGCTTGGTTGAAGCATAAAACTCCCAGTGACAGGTGCTGACAGGAAGACTAACACGCCAAGGGAGCTGGCGGGATGCCAGCAAAGGGGCTACCACGTCCTACCGACTCAGGGACTTGGAGTTACTTCAGTGAGCACACACACCCTGCCAACATCCAGTCACTGCCTCCTATCTGTACTTGCATAGCCCAGAGCAAGCGCATGCCCCTCTCCCACACGGGATCTGACTTCCTGGAATTCAAAGACAAGCCCTTCTTTGTAGGAGTCAACCGCCTACCTATGCACACTGGCTGCCCCTACATGCATGCTGCACACACACACACACACACACACACACACACACACACACACACACACACGCTGGCTACCCACACATGCTGGGTAACCAGCACTATGTGAACAGCCGTTAAACATTTAACCCCTTCTCTGGTCCTACAAAGCCCTTGTGTACCAGAGTCAGTTCTAACTGTTAACATCATAGGGCTAGTCAACTGCCGAGTTGTCAAATAATTTACTGTGGGTCCCCAAACTGAACTATGTAAGCACCGAAAACAGACGGTGGGAGGAAAATGGGAAACATTTGTATTTTAAAGAGTAACTGGGGACAATGACGGACTGGCCAGGCATATAACTGATGAGCATCCCCTCTTGTGATGTCTCTGTAGGAAAGCGAGCGTTGTGGCAGAAGGCGTCGGATTTCAGTTTTGCAAAAACATCTGTGTTTATTGGATATCATAGGGATTGAGAAACACTTGGCGTATGTGACTGGGAAGATCAGAGTTGTGGGCAGGGCTGGCCACTGTAAGAAGAGTCAGGGAGGCAAGAGAAGGTTATTCTGAGGTGTTAAATGTATGCCCAAAGCCAGGCGTTGGTGGCGCATGCCTTTAATCCTAGCATGCTGGAGGCAGAGGCAGGCGGATCTCTGTGAGTTCGAGACCAGCCTGGTCTACAGAGCGAGTTCCAGGACAGGCTCCAAAACAATACAGTGAAACCCTGTCTCCAAAAAAAAAAAAAAAGAAAGAAAGAAAGAAAGTCTGTCCAAAGACTATGATGGCAGCAGGAAGGGACACACCGAGGGTGCGAGGCTGCAGGCACAAAGGAATTGAAAGGAGGCAAAGCTGAAGCTGCCAGGCTCTGCCAGACAGGCACAAGTCACCGGGAGACAGGACTGACTCAGCCAACTGAAGAACTGAAGTCAGGCGGGTGCTGTGTGTCCAGCCCTGAACCAGGCCAAGCCGAGGAAACAGCTTTCCGCAGGAACTGTGCGCCGGCTTCCAGGGCTACCCTCGGTGGAAGAGGAACAGAGACAAACTGAGACTCGCTGCAGGAACGCAAAGGTGGCTGCAGAGACCAGCAGACTGACTTAGCTGCAGGACTGCATAGGCTCGTTTTGTAGTGTCTTGTGTTCATTTTGAAGCGGGCATAGGAGATTCGTAGAGAGTTTCTTAAAAGGTGTGTTTGTGAGTAAAAAGCTCTGCTAAACTTGGGGCCAGTGTGCTCCGAGAGCAAGAGGCTTGCCTGTCTTAAATGTCATCAGAAGGCACAGGTGACTGACACCCCACTTTGTAAGGGACGGAAGGGACTTTGTCAACTACAAGATCATTTTTAGACAATCGGTTGTCCCAGATTCTGCCAGGTTTCTGGGACTCCTCGTCCCAGTAACCTTGTGTTCACAACACTAGGAATACTGTGACTGTCACTGGCTCTCTCTGATCCCTGCCTAAAAGAGACAGTGACAGGGACTTGGGTGGTGAGAGTACTTCTGTACATCAGCCACAAGCTGGGAGGAAGGGGCTGTCATTTGCTGGGTGCTGATACTGTACAGTGTATGTAGGGCAGAGAGGGGACAGGAAGGGAAAAGCATGATTGTTTGCCAGAAAATGGACAGCAGAAGCTTCCAAGGAGATTTGGGACTTGATAAGAAAGTCCTGGGTATATGTCAATAAAGCACTGTTGGCCAATAGGGAAGCAAGATAGGTGGGACTAGGAGTTGAGAAGGACTCTGGGAAGGAGAAACACAGGGAGTCAAAATGTAACCACCATAGGGATAAGAAGCCCAGACCCTTTTCTCCGGTAAGAGAAATACTTAGATTAACAATTATGAGGTAAATACTTAAGTCAGAGCTAGCCAGTAGAAACAAGCAAGGCCAACAGCTTCATAATTAATACAGCGTCTTGTGTGTTATTTGGGGACTACAACGCAGCAGAGCCCAGGCGACTGGTGGGGAAAAACCCAAAGCAGCTGGCAAGGAAAAGGCTTCTCTTTACAAATGGTGTTCAGGAGTGGGATCATGAATTTCCACGTAGAATGACAAAAGCTTTAAAGGAATTTTAGAAACAAAAGAACAGAGAAAAGCATGGGTTCTTGGTATTTTTCTCAGGTGGGCTCTGTTTTGCTAGCGACAAGCAGAGACTCATGCGGCTTGCTTAAGGGAGTCTTCCTGACTCATCATAAAAAACAAACAAACAAACAAACAAAGCAAGGTTCTTTTAAGAGGCTCTGCTAATAATTGAAAGGTGTGTACTTACAGCTGGAAGTGGCAGTGACTACATCTCCAAGCCGGCAGCTTTTGCTGGATGTCAGCATAGACTGAGACAGTGAGCTGGAATCACGCTTACACCCGCCATCTTGGAAAAACTGCAGTTTAAACAGCTGAAGTTTTAACAGATAAGACATGTGGCCAGAAAAACATAAAGATTTACAGTAAAGTCAGACTTGAATATAGAAAAACCTCTAAAGGTTTACAATGTGTTTAAAAATATATGTAGAATTGAGAGAGAAAAAGAAACGACATAGTGGTAAATAAATAGAGAAGCCGGCCGTGGTGGCACAAGCCAGTAGGATTTGCTGCAGAGGCAGAGGCAGGCAGATTTCCAGAGAAACCCTGTCTCAGAGAAATAAATAAATAAATAAAAGTAAAAGAAATAGAGTAATAATAATAGATAGATAAATAAGCCACGTAAAGATGGAAATACACAGAGAGTCTGGATACTGTACGCTATTGTGTTTTTCAGTTTTTTGATTGCTAAGGAAGGAACAACTACTAAAGTACACTTGATTATAAATGCTGCTGAATTAATTCAACTTATATCTTTTGAAAATGCCTTGACTTCAAAATTTAAATATAAGGATATGTTACTTTGGAAAAGAGTTTTTGTTTATGTTTCTACAGAAAATGAAAAGCTGAGGATTCCTTCCAGGCTTCTGTGGTTTGATGAACCAAAATCCCCGGAAGCAATGGCCCAAGTGATTCAACATCTAAAACAGCTAAGATGATGGAGCCTTACAGACCCTGAAAATAAGGACTTATACAGGTTTCTGAGTTTCTGTCATGATCCCCATGGTATGAACAGCGCCCCCTTCCAGCATGAAGCAGTTTGGAATGAGCAGACATCCAAATCCCCATATTGTTTATAAATATTTGTTTTCATTTAAATTGGGTTGCTTATAATTGGTTAATGATCACAACCAATCTCTTTTTAAAAGAAAAAGGGGATTATGTATGGAAATGAGTACTTTGTATTGGTATGGTTTTTCATTTATTGATACAAATCCAGGGTCAATTTTGTGATGTGTATATTTCTCCTCTTGATTAAGTATTGTGCTTATACTGATCTTTTAAAAATAATGCATAATTAAATACAGACTATAGATAGTTATTTATATTAGTTAGAATTTATAGTTAGGTAAGTTAGGTTTTCTAGATATACAGAGATATATTTGAGACAGATAGACAGTCTTCAAACCTTTCAAAGACCTTCAGAAAATGGCATTTAAAATGATTTAGGGTTTTTCTTGACAATGAAAAATGTCTGCCCCTGGCATCACAAATTACGTCTGAGAGGAAGATGGGCATCGAAGAAACTCGTTATGGAGTTTGCTTTCAACATGGCAAGATTAGCCATTTGGGCAAGAAACTGCTCTTGCCTGGACTGCTTGACTGTTGCTGTATAAACCGGACATGCAGGACCCACAGGAAAGTGACTGCTGAACTCAAACAGCCTTTCAGGGTTCCTGATTCATGGAAGAGTCTATGAGACTTTCTACAGGACACAGAAAAATGACTAACAGACTGCCAATGCAGATGGACAGTTTGAAATTTCCTGCTTTGCTGAGAAGTGTTCCAGACACATTATGGCCTATGGGCTGAAGATGGATGCCCCAACGTTACAGAGGAACTTCGGGTGACTGTCCAGGCAGTAAGATGTCTCTGTCAATCTTAGTGTTTATATATTATCCTTCTGTGGTCTTTGATGGAGTTGAAGACAGATAGTTATAATTATAGTTTTCCTTAGTTATGATAAAAGATAAGCTACATATAGAACTTTGAACTCACAAGGATGGGATGGATGATATTTTCTTTAAATCTTGCTAAATGTTGATAGACAAAATGTAACTATGTTCTTATTTGATAACTGTTCTGATATATATATATATATATATATATATATATAAAATTTGACTATGTTAAAGTTAAGACCTTTCTTTTTGTTTAGACAGAAAAGAGGAGATGATGGGGGAAGTCCTATGTATATGTCAATAAAGCACTGTTGGCCCGTAGGGAAGCAAGATAGGTGGGACTAGGAGTCCTGGAGGACTCTGGGAAGGAGAAACACGGGGAGTCACGATGTAGCCCGCCAGAGAAGTAAGATGTCTGGAACTTTTCTCTGGTAAGAGAAATACTTAGATTAACAATTATGGGATAAATACTTAAGTCAGAGCTAGCCAGTAAGAAACAAGCAAGGCCAACAGCTTCATAATTAATACAGCGTCTTGTGTGTTATTTTGGGGACTACAACATGACAGAGGCCAGGCAACTGGTGGGGGAAAACAAAAGCAGCCGACAAGGAAAAGGCTTCTCTTTACAAGGACTCTCTTTGCAGTGGTCAGGGCATGACTGGACACCAGGGAGCCCAGAGGCCAGGATGAGGAGGCCAGTTGCTGGAAGCTTCCCTGATGGTGCGCAGGTGGTGGTGGGGGATGTCCTGCTATCCATTCCATTCCATTTCGACATTTTTCTCCTTCAGCTTCCCATGAACGTCTTTTTGCATGCTTGTTAAACATGGACTGTGCCTACCCTAGCTTCA